AATTTTGTCAGCCACAGTGGCTAACCCCTGTAATCCCAGCACTTTGGGAGGTCAAGGCAGGATTGCTTGAGCCCAAGGGTTTGAGACCAGCCTGGGCAACATAGTGAGACCTCGTTTCTGCAAAACATAAAAAAATGAGCTGGGCTTGGTATTCAGGAGACTGAGACCAGAGGATCACTTGAGCCCAGGAGTTTGAGACTGTGGTGAGCCATGATTGTGCCACTGAACTCTAACTTGGGTGACTGAGTGAGATCCTGACTCAAAAAAAAATTTTTTTAAATTCCTTATATATGTTTTGGCTACACCCCAACTTTTTCTTTCCTCTATTTATTTATATATCTTTTAAAATGTAAGTGGAGAGTTTATTTGGGCCATGCGTAAGGACTGCAACTAGGGAGCATAGCTTGAAGTTGCCCTGAATTTACTCTGATTGGTAGCAGTTACAAGTGGATTTTTAAAGGGAAAGAGTTGTTTAGCAAGAATTTACATTTAAATAGCATAAGCTGCTGATTGGCCATACATTGTTAAGCTATTGGGTATGGGTGATAGTGTCTGGTGAGGCCCTATTAGGTTAATTTATAGTTACTTTACACCTCAGATTTTTCTACCTGCATGTGGAAGCTTATTTGGAATCCATCTAGAATCTTTAAAAAATTATCACTATAATATTTCTTTAAAAATTTCTAGCTATATCTGAAATGACAACAAATTCTTTGCTAAAGGAAACATGTTTTATAAAAGACATTATTTTAAAAAAAGATAACTTTGAAAGTTACTTGGTTAGCTAGTTTCTATGTGGGTGTAAAGAAATTTATGGCAAAATCTCTGCCTTTTAGTTTACAATAAATTGGGGAAATTAATGAAAGCAATAATGATAGTAAGTAACATTTATTGAGTGCTTAATATGTCAAACACCATTTTAAATGTTTTATTAAAAGGTACATATGCATATTTTTTAAATTATACATATATGAAAGGAAATGAGCATATTAATGCAGAAATCTCAGAATCTGGGAGTTGTAAAGGATCTTGTTCAACTTAATGAGCCCTGGAGGGACCTCCTCTCTGATGTTCTCGGCAGGTATTCCTGTAGGATCTCCATGGGGATTCATATGAAGGACTGTGAGCTCCTGAAGGAGGAGCTGCGCAGAACTCAGAAGGAGCTGCAGCTGAAGGATGAGGACTGTGGGCAGCTATCTGAGGTATAGAAGCAGCTAGAACACAAGCTGTAGGAGCTAGTTGCCAGTGTGTTCAAAGAAGCCCACGAGATGGTGTGGGAAGCCAACATGAAGCAGGCAGCTTCTGAGAAGTAGTTGTAAGAGGCCTGGAACAGGATAGACATGCAGGCAGAAGGGACAATCTCGAAGACACTGGTCATCATGTCCACACTGGCCTCTCCCACCTGGAGACTCCACCTGCAGCTGCCACTAAGACTGGGCCCTGCAGAGCCACTTCCACCAAAAGAACACCAGCAGTACCCTCTCCTCAGCCATGTTCCCCATTTTGGGACATTCCATCACCCTGGACAAGGAGGTAGACATGACCCTATTAGCAGAGTTCTAAACCTGTGAGGGAATTGTTCACTCTGGGAAAGATGTATTTCTTCCTAGGAAAGGTGTAGTAGGAGGACATGGGCCCTTGCCTGGAATGCACAATGTGGGAGCTCATGGTGCAGCTGTGGGCCACTGGTGATTACGTTCTGCAGATGCTGCCTGTAGTGAGGATAACTGTGGTCAAGTGTGGCAGTGCCAATATATATATCTTGAGCAGGCTAGTCCATGCCTGCCACTACCACATCTGGCTCTAAGACTGAGAACCACCACTACATCTTGCTGTCCTCTCTGGCCAGGATCACAGCAGCGTGAAACTTTTCCAGCTATATTTACTTTATTTATGAGGCCTGGTGTGGCAGGATATGAAACCAGTGTCCTGGGGGAACACAAAGCTGCAAAAAGATGTAGCTGGCCAGCCTCAGTTTTCTTCCCCACAAAATGTAGAGTGTTGCCTGGGACTAGCGGGGTGGTCAGGCCTGGAGAAAGCAGCTACCCCAAGATGGACAGATAAACAGAAAGACAGGATCATGAAGACAGCTCTGAGCCAGAAACCAAACACTGTCCCTGGAGGGACAAATGCCTGGGACTTAGAGGCAGCACTAAACTGGAACCCAGTATCTGCACCAGGATGGAGGGAGGGACAGACGGGCCTGTACCTCATGAAAGGACCCTTTTTTCTTTCTCTGTGAGTTTTACCATTCACAAGGAAACTTTCAAGAAAGCACCAAAGATCAAGGTGCTTAAAGTCTTAAAAACATTTGTTTCAAAGGCGTAAATCTCTTTCCTCAGGCAACTGTGAACATATATGATTATTATACAGTTCTTATCATGACTTCTGCCCTTTGCAGCTCCCTTGCTGTCATCTAATTCTCCTGCTCTGTGATAGGCATTCCTGTACTTGAAAATGGTAATATATCCCCTGGAGGGAAGTTGTGGCACCTCAGTGGCAAGGTCAACCCTGATGAGAGGTCCTGAATCAGTGACAGGGGAAGCAGCGTTCACTCTCCTACCATCAGGCCATGGTTCCAAGTCTGTGAGCTCCCTGAGGGCAGAGGCTCTTGCCTTATTCTTGATTTTATCCCCAGAATCTTGCATTAAGTTATATAAATGAATGAAAGTAAATAAATACCAGTCTGATTTTAATATTTTGGATCCCAAACTTATCTTGGATAAGACTACATTTAGAGGATTCTGATACTGTCTTTTTCATTATCATTCTCCCCTCTACCTCTCTTTTTCTACCCCACCAGAATTGTGCTGTCTCTAAAGCATTAACAACTTCAATGACATTTACAAAGAAAAGTAAAAGTTGTTATCTCTGATCTTGGTTCTGTTATCTCTGAGGGGGGTGAAATAATGAAAACATCTGATCAGTGTCATGGGCAGAAGTTAGTATCCAGAATAAGACTGGGGTGAAGGGAGGGCTGGGAAGCGCCAAGGAGAATGATATGATAGCAGCAGAGAAGACCAGGGTGTTTGCACGGACTGTGGCAAGCATACCCAGTGTATTTTATTCCTCATATCATTGAAAAAGAGGATGACTGGGAATGAGAGGAAATGTATTATTGAATTCTGGCTGGGGATGACAAATTGAAGTCCTAATAATCAATCTGAAGATGTATTATATTTATAGAATTTACCAAGAATGTAAAGAAATATTTTATATGTTCATTTATCATGTTACCCTAGCTGGACTTCAGACTCCTAAGCAAGAAGACTGAGTTCATCTTTGTACTCCCAAAAGTTCTTTCTTTATGATGTTGTACATGATAGATGCTCAATAAATGGTGAATTAAATGGAACAGAAGACTTAGTCTTAGATTTCAAAAAGTGTGTAATCCCTTTGAAGGGACTGAATATAATTATCTGGGAAGTTAAATAAGAATGCATGCTTATTTATGGTTGAGAGCCTGGTGAAATGTAGACATAGTAGTCTGTATAAATTCAGAGAGATGCAATCATATGAGGCATTTGAGATTAATAGTTAATCTTTGCGCCGGGCTCGGTGGCTCACCCTGTAATCCCGCGCCTTTGGGAGGCTGAGGTGAGTGGATTGCCTGAGCCCGCGGGTTCGAGACCTGCCTGGGCAACTTGGTGAGACCTCATCTCTACAATAAATCAAAAATTAACCAGGTGTGGTAGCGTGTGCCTGTAGTTCCAGCTACTTGGAAGGCCGAGGCGGAAGGATCACCGGAGCCCAGCAGGTCGAGGCTGCGGTGGCTGGGAGCGGCCACTACACTCCAATCTGGGTGACGGACTGAGATTCAAAAAAAAAAAAAAAAAAAAGTTAACCTTTGCTTTAATATCTAGAGTTTTAGTCCCTGCTCTGTTACTTACTGGCTAGATGACCTGGCAAATTACTTAAAATTTTCTGTGACTTGATTTATTTTTCTGTAAAATGGTGATAACACTATTTTCCCCATAGGGCTGTTAAAGTTTAAATGAGAAAGTGAATATAAAGTGTTTAAGACAGTGCCTGATGCACACTGGGCTTAGAGAAATCAAATATTAGAGAAATAAAGTTTTTCTTGGGATAGAAAAGATTTAAGCCAGGTCCTAAAGAATAAGTAGGTTGTAGATCGGATTCTTCCTTTGAAGGATATGTGTTATGAATTCTAGTGCTGGCTTTTAATTTGCTTTTGATTTTTGACAAGTCTTCAAAATTCTCTTTGCTTCATTTTCCTTTTTTATAAAAAGGGGGCTTTTTCAATCACAGTGCTTGCTCTGAGGTCAGTGCCCAACAAATAATAGCTGGTTTTATCAGATTTTACCACCACTGTCATCATTGTTGTCACCATTGTTGTCAGCAGTATCATCGTCATCAGGTATCGTCATCATCAGGGTAGGAAATAGAAATCTGGCTGTCTTGGAGCTGAGGTTTTGTGTAATAGAAGGAATCAAGATTTATATTTAGGAAAGGATCTGACTGTAAAATCTCTCTTCAAATTAAAGGACTATTAGAAAATTGAAATACTTTGTTCATGATTATGGGAATTTATACTGGTTACAGTATCCAGGAGTGGGACTTTTTATAGAATAAATTTTACTTCACATCAATACTATGAAACAAACTAATGATACCAGATTGTACTTTTGCAATGGCTTTCTTGCTTTTTAAATAAAGATTTTTTATTTAAGAACCCAAATTTGGGTGTTTTTATTGTACTGAAACATTAAAATATACATAACAAAAAGGGAAATGCTCTATAGCTTGCCACTGTGACCACCTACCTTTGTAATTAGGTTTGAAAATGTTAAGTGGTTGATGCAGAAAGTAGCAATGAAACAGTAGAAATATTTTTATAAAGTCAGTGGAATAGTATCTATATTACAATAAGAAATCTTTGTCCTTGTGGTATTCATGTCAGGGTTAGTGTTAGTTCATGAAGTTTCAGCTAGTAATTATGCATTAATAAGCGTTTTCCTTAATTATTTCTTCTCTCTTAGAACGATATCGCATTCAGAGTGAACAATTTGAAGATCTTTGGCTCATAACTAATGAGCTTATTCTTCGCCTTCAAGAATATTTCGAAAAACAGGGAATCAAAGATTTTGCATGTTCTTTTTCTGGATCTATGCCCCTACAAGAATATTTTGAGTTAATTGATCATCATTTTGAGGTGTGTATGACAACCAACATCAACTATAATACACGTACCTAAATATCTGAAAGAGAAATAGATGCTCTTGAAGAATTCTAGTATACATTCTATTAGGCTGTGTGCTTTGAGTTGTTTATTCTTATGTGGTTGGTAGATTTTGTGAATCCATTCCTGCCCCCTTGCTCAGTTTGTGAACAGTTACGGGCATTTACAGAGTGACTGCTTGGAGCTAAGCTTTTTGTCTGGTCTTGGAACAAAGCAGATTTAATTCTCCCACATGGGAACTTAACCCTTGACCCCAATAACCCAGCATTAAACCGATTTGGGCTTATTGGTGGCCATTTGGCTAACTAATTCTAGTAGGCCGTAAATGAGGTGTTATTGTAAAGTGAAGCAAATTTTCTTTATCATTTTTAACAAGCACATCAGAACTTGCACCTGAATGAGGGTTAAGCACTAAAAATATGCTCCAGTACCAAGCACAGTGAGTGCTTGGTAAATGCTGAATGATTAAATGTCTAACAAATTAGATTCGTCAGTGATTTTGGTTGCTTTGAATATTTTTGTATTTCTTTTTTGGAAATGCCTTCAGAGCCCACGTTAGATTCTCTTAAGTGTGTCAGTGATGGCAAATCTTCATCCTTTGAAGACTGATTTGATATTTGGAAATAGTTAAAAGTCATGTTTTGTGAATGAATTGGACAATGACAGTCATTGTTTTAAATGTCTCATGTATTAAAATAAAGTTACCAGGCTTCCCTTACTTATAGAACCTTTAAACAGACTCTATATTGCAATACAAGAGGGGAGTTTTGAGAGAATTTTGAACATCATTCAGGTTAGCATTGGTTCTTAAAATGACTTCTTTAAGAAATCAATAGACATTTCAGTTTATTAGCTATGGAGTGTGTGTGTGTGTGTGTGTGTGTGTGTATGTGTGTCTGAGAGTGAGAGAGAGAGAGGGACAGAGATTATCAGACATGTAATTTGTCAGTCAACTGTTGAACATTCTGAGAGCATTGATTTTCACCTAAGAAAACTTGCTGCAGTGTGATCATTAAAGGACAATTTCAGGTGTATACAATCCGATTATGAATAATTATGTCATTAGTAAATCAATGGAATTTATTTGAGTTTTTCCACATCTATGATGATAATATTTTCTAGAACAGTATGTCTTTGATTGAATTGTGGCTCCAAACTCGATACAGTTTGGGAGAATATATTTAGACATTTTAAGGATTGAGAACCTTTGCTGTTCTCCAGGATATATTTTAAGAAATTCTTACTTACTGTGCAAAACTGCAGTCTAGTAGTTTATGAAAAAGAGTTCACAGAAAGGGTATACAAGTTACATATTTGTTCTATTTAAAATAGAGAATATTAAATACTCTTGATAATAAGTTTTATATATGAGTTTTTCTACTTTTTTGCTGGCTAGTAACTCTGGAATTTCCACATCATGGGATTTTTTTTTCTGAAGATATACTTTGAGAATATGGTGAACTACAGCCCTTTCATTTGTTACACACACAAATTAAGGGGACTAGGATTATACTTCCTTTGCTCTCTGTCCCTACTTTCTGCTTTTAACCATTAATACAATGTTTAACAATGAATCAAGATGACTTTTGGAAGCGTCCCTTGGAGTGTAAGCTCCACGAAGGTAGTGATTTTTGTCTGTTTTATTCATTGTTGTAATTACTAGTGCTTGGAAAAGTGCTTGACCTTGGGATCAATAAATATTTGTTAAAGGTTGAAATTCTGATATGTGACAATATTTCAATAACTGCTGCTTGGTTACGCATTCAAAGGAATGATAACCTGGCTGAATATTGAGAATATCTGTTTATATTATTATAGTGGTAAATTATACAATTACAAGGGTGAACTATTGATAATTAGGCTACTGTTCTCTTAAATATTTAGTTATTTTTAAATGTATTTTTGGGACTTCTGGCAAGATGGCAACGGGGCAACCTGGTCTATGAAACCCTCTGGAAAGGAGAACAAGAGGGTCTCTGGCTCTTTCCCCGGGGGCTGCGGACCCCAACGTTGGCAGCCTGTTCTTCACATGGAGCTCAGCTGTCACCACCGCTGGGGCATCTCAGCGGTCTGGACAACCACTGCAGCTGCAGACACAGCAGCCGCCAGCACCACTGCAGCCTCCGTGGCAGCCATAGCGCATCATGCCACCCGTGCTTGAGGCGATCCTCGACTTTAGTCCTTGAAGCCCATGCAGGCAAGATCTGCTGGGATTGCTGCCACCTCTGCTGCCACTGTGATTTCCTGCCGGCCGTGGGTCTCCTCCCGTGTTCCGTGAGACAGGCTTCCATCTCCGGCCTCTGCCCGACCTCTGTCCGGCTCTACCCCCTCTGGGGCGAGCAGCTGAGATAGCACCACCTGCTGGTGATTCAAGGTAACAACACCAAACCAGGAGAAACAGGTTTGAAAAAGAGACACAGACCAGATTTGAGTGGTGAACGGAGGGTGGTCTGAACTGTCCGTCACAGCAGGCCAGGGGCAACTGACCCTAACTGTGAACTAATTTACCAGCTTGAAAAGACAGCTAGAAATCAGAGCTGAAAGGACATTGGATTTAAACGAAAAGTCTCAGAGTGTGCTCGATTGGTTCTGTTAGTTTAATGACTTAATTCTATTTCTACTGTTTTGTTCCTTTTTTTTCTTTTCCTCTTCCTTTTCTTCTCTTTCCTCCTCTCTGTAAACCATATCTTTGTATAGAGGAACAGCACACCAATAAGGTGGTTGTTTAGCTTGTATGTTAGCATCATTGTATGTTTTATTTTTTTTTGTATGGGAGTTGGTTAGTCTGTAGCCGTGGTCTATTGTTTTTATCTGTTTCAATTTAGGTCTCTCTCTCCATTTGTTGGTGCACTCATCTGTTTCCCCCCTTACGCCTCTCTCTCCCTACCCCCCTCTTCCCCCCAGTGTCTGCTCCATTCTCTTCCCTCTGCTAACCACATTTTATTTCAGGGAGTAAACCTACAGCCCCACTGAATGAACAGATTCCAAGACAGTGGGAAGTGGGTTTCAGATTATTCATACACCTGTTGGCGAGTACCAGGACCTGCAGATAGATTTCGAATCACAGCTCCCCCCTTAAGTAAATCTCAAAACTGCCAAAAGGACCACCCCCAACCTACAGTGCAACCCCAGAACTGAACAAAGTAAGAGGGCATACATAAAGAATAGGAGATTGAACAAACAGAAGTAAAAGCAATCCCTCTACCCCTGAATAACAGAATTAAAGAAGACAGTGATGTGGAGGGAAGGAAAAAGTAGGGAGGGGGAAAAAAACCGCACAAACGAAGAAAAACCAAAAGAAGAATATAGGTCTCACACAGACCCCTGGGAGATCAGACACTGAGAAAACAGATCCCGGATCACAAACAATGAAGAGCCCCCAGAATGACTAGTCACATGCAATAAACCCAGACATCAAGACATTAATAGAGAGAATTTAAAAAATTGAGGAGAGACAAGAGGAAAATAGGAAGGAGCTGATGTCAGAAATAGCAGCAGTAAAGAATACTGTGATGGAAATAAATAACAAACTAATAAGCATGGAAAGCAGAATTAGCCAAGCAGAAGAAAGAATCTCAGAGCTCGAAGACCAAAACACAGAACTAACCCAAACTGTCAAGAGCATAGAAAAGAAGCTCAAAAAGACAGAAGAAAACTTGCAAGAGATGAATGATCACTTCAAGAGACCAAACCGAAGAGTAATTGGACTTCCTGAGGCAGAGAGAGAAGCAGAGGTCACACTGGAACAAACATTTCATGAAACCATTCAAGAAAACTTCCCTCATCTCATCAAGGATGAAAAAATTCAAACACAAGAGATTCAGAGAACCCCTACAAGACAACAAATGAGAAGACCAACTCCCAGACATATAATAATTTGCCTAAACAAAGTTGGTATAAAAGAGAAAATCCTAAAGGCTGCAAGAGAAAAAGGTCAGACTACATACCAGGGAAGACCAATTAGAATAAAGGCAGATTTATCTACAGAAAACCTCCAGGCTAGGAGAGCTTGGAGCCTTATCTTCAAAGTTCTAAAAGATAAACAATTTCAACCAAGAATAGCCTACCCAGG